ACAAAATTTTTTGCAGAACCGGATGGTTGCATCCGGAACGTTTGCTCCGTGAGCGACCCAGAACTGGACGATGTAGCCCACCTCCCCCAAAAACTAACAGCCTTTCCCTTCAAACTTTTTGTTTGAAATGCCAGATCCTTGCTTAATAAGATGCCTTTGCTTCAGACTCAGGTGTTCGTCCATTGTCCTGATATTGTTTTAGTAACTGCGACGTGGGCATCAGCCTCAGTAACTGACTCCGAACTCTCTCTTCTAGGCTACAATTGCATTCGAAATGATCGCCAAGATAGCCGTAGTGGGGGCAGCTGCGTCTACGTTAAGCAAACACTTATATTTTTGCCGTTGGACCTCCCGCACTTTTCCGCAGTAGAAGGCAGCTGCTGGCTCCAGGTTGCACTAAAAAATAAGTTCTCCTTACTCGTTGGCTGCGTCTATCGCCCTCCCAGCGCCAATGAAAATTTTGATCTTTTACTCTCACAGGCATTTCATGCTGCGGCCGACTTAAGCTTTAAGTATCAACTGGTTGCGGGTGACTTAAATTTCCCTGAAGTCCGCTGGTCTCCGCCTTCAGGCCCCAGAAGGTTCGATGACTTTCTTGAGGCTGTGGATGTTGGGATGTGGAATCAGGTTGTCGATTTTACCACCCGAAGCTCAAGTATACTTGACCTTATATTCTGTAGAGGCTGCATGCCATCGTCGGTGTCATCCCTAGGCCCACTCGGGGGCTCAGACCATGACATAGTTGTTTCAACGTTGGAATTCGAGGCTGACGAAATGTCGTCCCAAAAGTATAACTTCTTCCGCGATTTCCGATCAACTCGCTCAACCGAATTATTAACACACCTTAATTCCTACGACTGGACTGAGTTCTTCCTTAGTTCGGAGGTAAATGTTTGCACTGCAAAACTTTACGAAATATTGGGTCCGCTTATTTCTCGTTTTGTCCCCCGTAAGAAAATTATTAATGTTGGGGATGAGGTTTTCCTACCCTTACCCTTTCGTCGCAGATTGCGCAGGCTTTATCGTCGTTTCCATCTGCAGAACGATGTTTCTGTCCTGCCCCGTGATATTTTTGATCGAGCTAAGAGATTGTCTGAAGAAAACCAGCTAGCCGAAGAGGTCCACTTTACCGAAAACCATTCGTTAAATATCTCGGAACTTTTCTCTAGAAAAATACGAACTCAGAGAAAGACGCAGTATCCCATCCTTCGAGACGATCTCGGAAATCCCCTAGTTGATGCCCAGTTAACCACGGATAGCTTCAATGATTTCCTGTCCAAAACGTTTATTGAAGACTCGGCCACTCCGCTTCCGACCATCCAGTCATTGACTGGGGCAGTTCTAGAAACTATAACTTTCACTTTGTGGGATGTGACTGTTGCGATTCGGCGTTTTCGTCAATCATATAGTCCAGGCCCTGATGGTGTCCCAGTAAGCATTTTAAAAGCCGATGCAAACACGATCTTCCCATCCCTCTTATGCAAGATATTTCATCTTGCTCTTGAAAGTGAAACTTATCCCACCTTGTGGAAGGAATCACACATTTTGCCCATTCCTAAGCACGGCAAATCTACATCATTTGATGACTTTCGGCCAATAAACACCCTCCCTGCAACTTCGAAGATCTTAGAGATGATGTGTCACTTAACAGCGAATAACTTACTGAGTGCTGCTCAGCATGGATTCCTCAAAGCTCGATCTTGTGACACCTGTCAACTCTCTTTCTTTGACTATGTTCTCCAATCTAGGGACCATGGTTTTGCTCTTTACACAGTATATTTCGATTTCACAAAGGCTTTTGCCCGTGTTGACCATGCTCTTCTCCTCTTGAAATTGTCCTCTTTTGGAATCGGTGGCAAACTTTTGAATTTTATATCCTCTTATTTGGGCACTCGCACACAAAGAGTTAAGATTTCCAATACCATCTCCAACCCCACACGTGTGAGGAGTGGAGTCATTTAGGGTAGTGTACTCGGCCCGCTTTTATTTTGCCTTTTCGTTAATGATGTACCCGATTTATTTCAGAATGGTAAGCCTTTCGTGTATGCCGATGATCTTAAAGTTGCATATCGATATAAGCCGGCAGATCATGACATCGTGCTTGAGCTCCTAAAGAGCGATCTACAGGCTTTCGCCCAGTGGTGCCGCACATGGCGCCTTTCTCTTTCTTGGCATAAGTGCTCAGTCATGGTGGTTGGCGACGACCACCAACCTCAACTAAGTATTGAATGTCACGCAATAAATGTGCCAGGGGTTATAAAGGATTTGGGCGTATCATACTCCAAGAGTCTCAATCTCTCGGAGCACTGTGCCTTGATAGTCTCCAAAGCACGTAGAACGACCGGGTTTATCCTCCGAAATTTTAAAACTAGGGACATTAGGATGCGCCTTTTCAACATGTACGTTAGACCTGGTCTGGAATACTGTTGGTTTTCATTTAGCCTCATGCGTGCTACTGAGCGGAAGAAAATAGAATCGGTTCAACACTTTTTTACCAAGAGAATTTTAACCCTAGAACACTGACATTTGTCTTACCAAGAGCGTAGCTGGCTTACAGGCCTCGATCCTTTATGGTTCCGTAGATTACAAAAAGGACTATTTTTACTATTTAAACTCTTATATAATCACACATTTAACCCACTCACCTCTTTAAGACATCATATCCACCCACGACGTAACAGTCACCGTGAGGTCTTCTTATTTCTGCCTCTGGCACGTACTGTTAAATATCGTCGGTTCTTTTCTGTAAATGCAATTGCTATTTGGAATAAACTACCCATGAGTGTGAAAACTCTGCAAAATTAACCTTTATTTAAGAGAACTATTACTCGATTTTTGCATTCACAAAAGCTCCCACAAATTTTGGGGGCTGAATCTACTGACCGACTGTACCGTAGCGATGGCGTTTGTGGTCTCTGAACACTATGGTCGGTCTCACCAGCTGTTCCTCAACGCCCCTACTTTGACTATCCCCAACTTCATGAAAGGAATTTGACGTCCGATAATCTCCGATACCGTGCAACCCCCTCCCCCCCCCTTCTTGACGGTCGATATTCTACCACCGCCGGCAGTTTTTTCTCCTGAGCCCTCCAAACCATAAAAACGACCATCAACTATATTTTTATCCATTTAGCTCAGGAGTTTTTATCACTGCTGGTTTGATTTGTGTTTAATCGCTTCCCTTGACAATGCCTGTAAACTGGCATTTAATAAACTAAATTAAATATGTGTGTATGGACGACCAAAAATCTAGTGCAATCTAAAACACTGAAGAAAGACGGCCGTGAAGACAAACAGTACTTTACACTGGATCAGGCTTGCATTTGAAATACTGCCTCCCGAATCTACAGAAGACTTTTCGGTGTCGCTGTAGAACCCCACCCGGAATATGGAATGCTAGCAGTTTCACCATGGATGAAGATGGATATTGACTTACTTGAACAAGTGCAATGTAGAGCAGCGAAAATGGTCGATGACCTAAAGCACTTGTCGTTCCAGGAAAGGCTGAATGTGCTTGGCTTATTCCCCCTAACCTATAAAGAACTAAACTGCAGTGTATTATGGACATTCCGGAGTATCTGTGGCCAAAGTTGTTCACTGAAGACGGAGGACTTTTTGAGTTTGCCACTGCAAGTCAACTATGCGGCCATCCTTACAAAGTCAAGTGCGAACGCACGCGGCTAGACCGTAGGAAGTTCTCTTTCTGTCAACGGGTTGTCCGACCATCGAACTCGTTACCAAGTGACATTGTAACGAATGACACAATTTGCATGTTGGAGAAGAAACTTTCTCATGTAATCTTCGACAAACACCGACTTTTACAATATGATAACTTTCAGCCAATTTTGCAAAACAATTTGTCATACTCCATCTTTCCCTAATGACTAGGATTGAGCAGATGCGCTTTCTAATTACTAATGCTGTATAGTGAACTGTACTCATTTTAAATGGTTGCAACTTTATTTTGAGTGCGAATTTGGCACAAACTGGGTCACCAAAGGCTCTAACTAGAACACCTCAAATACAAATACAAAAATGACCCCGGTGGTGAACGCCCTGAGCCAGCTCTTTGTGCGCGTGTACGAGTTTTCAGTCCCAGATGGTGGCGAGGGTTATGAGTGGTCAAATGAAGACAAACAAGCCCGAAGTAGAGTCTGTCCTCTCTCCCTGCTATCATAGCTTGGCCAGCTTCGTCCTGACAGGCGGCTGCCTAATCGCGACACCCGTTACCCATACGAACATTGCTTGTTGATGGAAGTCGAGGGATTGGTGTGCGGCACTCATACGTAGTAAATAAACTTTTTTTAGTTTGTTACCATAAGGGTATCATCAAGGTAAGTAAAACATATCTTTTTCATGCGGATTTTAAAACGAGAAGGTAGACAATATACAGTTTTTGATTGCATGCCTACATAATAGACAGTCTTATATTAAAAACGATTAGCGAACAGGAAAAAAAAACCCATAAGCTCTTTTGAAAGAAGCCCAACAAATCTAAATTGATCAGTTTTTAAGAAGAAAAACTGTCGCTCATGGGAAGGTAAAGATGCTGGTGGTACCGGACCGTTCTGTAGATGATAGTATATAGGGCTCGAACGCATTCCTCGTCAGGATAGAAAACCTAGACCCGATCAGGCCATTCGCTGAAGAAGCGGTCATAGTAACTTTGGAGTGACAGCAGAAGCATTCGTCAAGATGGAGAGACAGGAGAAAACCAACTCGATCGTTGACAGCCCGCTTAGAGTCCAAGCGAGGAGGGGACGTAAGAGGCTGTGAGGGTCATCGAGGCGCGCGATCACTCTATTGCCTATTTATAATTCTATCGGCTTACAAACTTTCTTCAAAAAGTATCAATACAACCGACTTTCTGGATTTACCTGATGAATCTGTAGCCTTGAGAGAAATTCTGAGGACTCTGAGACTGTAACCGTACTGAAGCACCCTATTTGTTTAGTCTGGAGGCTGTTTGGGGCTTAGTGTTGTCCCTTCGTTGCGTGGTTATGGGTCTTTTCTCGTCGCCTGGTCGTCCAAAGGATGAGACTAGTTGTCCTTACCAAGGTTCGAGTGGAAGTTGCCCCGTTGCAGATGGAGCGGCTTCTGGTATAAATCCGTTAAATATGGTGAGGGCTGCCTCCCTGCCAGGCTTGACCTTGAAATTTGTCTCTGTTTTTTAGTCTTCCGGAACGTTATAACGTTCAGGCAATAACCGACAATGATAATTTCTTTCTCAACACTTGTGCTAGTAACTTCTTTTCTAGGCAACAAAGAGGCCTGATTAGTGTTTCGTTGATATAATTCTATGCAGTCCCCGCGCAGATTTTACGCAGAATAAGTGTGAGAACCTCTACGTAGGATATTCCAACCATCTGATCAGAATCTGCGCAGAATCTAGGCAGAATTGTTATTTTGGGGTATAACCAGCCTATAGTTGTAAGCCTATATTTTTCATTTTATATCGCGTTGGCAACTGTAATATTTGTTTTCGAAAGTGCGGTTGTTGTGTTGTCCACCAAGTAGTGACAGAAGACGTTAAGGGTGCCATATAGGGGAACGTCAAGCGCTGGCATAGCTCCTGTTTTAAGTCAGAATGAACAGAGTTGCTAGGTATACAACATAATTCATCCAGACTACAAGGTAGAAGAATTAGGCAGGCACAAAGTAAATAATATGAACAGGAAGGAATCTAGTATTTGGACAATGGTTAGTGATACAAGAAAAGATGAGTCACATCAGGAAGTTGACCCGTCTGGATGGAGAGGCGACACTAACGTGCCAGCTGTGGGCACTGCGGGCAGCTGCAGGGAAGGGCCACTTGTAACGTGATACAATGCTTCCCTGATCCACGTCTGCTTTCCGACCCCATTCTCATAACTGCCGTTTTTACCTCACATGTGCCTTTTTCGCTTCATGTGTGCATCTGCATTTTGCCTTGGGCAGCACATCAACCAACTAACTGCCTGAGTTAAATCTAATCGTCGCCGACTACTCGTCTCGGTTTTCCATTGGGAACATCTCGACGATAGTGGTGAAACACCATAAAAATGCCGTCTGTTAATGGATGACTGTTAGTGCTGTATGAATAAGTAGTAGGGGAATGACCGAACGATGGTCAGAGCCGGCCCAACATCAAATAGGACAAATTGAGCAGAAATCGATTATTTATTATGATCAGATGAAAAGGACTCAAACATTGTGGCCCGCATGCTACAGGTGTTTACCGTCAGTGAGCGTTTTCAAGTTGATGTTTCATCCCCGAACGCCTGTCTTCGAGCTCTGCATCCTCTCCAGGTCTGTTGGCTATCTGCTTTGTTAGTTAACCATTCAACCAGACAATCGCAGGCCGGTGTTTGGAGAGATGATATCATGAACAAATCGCCCTTCGGTCTGATTTAGCAGCACCAACACGAGACGTTCCTAATCGGTGGTGAGGTTTCGCCTTATACGCCTGGTTCGGCAGCGGAGACCCTATTTCTCTCCAGTGACACCCACCGTGGAACAAATAAATGTCTTTCGAGGTAAGCAATGTATAGGGACTGCGTCTCACGCTTGTAAAGCAGGATGATTTTAATCGTCATCTCAGTCGAACGTGACTTCTGCTGCACTTCTTGTCTACATTAAAGGCATGTGATAGTTACATTCGCCAGTGGGTAGCAGGAACCAACGGGTGAGTAACTTGACCAAAAATTATTTAAACCTACGACACCTGATTGCGATCTTGTAGTTCAGATGGTTACAGCTTTGGCTGTACTCAGACATCGCGCTTGCCGTTGTGTGTTCCAACGCCACCAACAGGGTCTGTCAAAAAGACCTATTAGACGGCCCTCTTGTCGGGACAGTTGGAAGCTAACTAGAGCACAAGAAATGACAGGCAGATGTCAGGTCTAATGGTTTCCATGTCCACCTTTTCACTAAGTTAGGTCAAATTTCCTTGCAACAGACAGAGATTTCTTTTCTAACTTGCCTTTTTCATTGACGGTCGACGTCGTTGGAGACTTATAAACTGTTGTATACTTCACTCACAGTCATTCACAGTCGTATTGACCTTCCCCCGTCGGTCGGAACAGTGTGGTTGGGGGAGGATATGGTGAGCTGATGTGGCACAGTGGTAGTCCTTCTCTTGGCACGAACAAACTTATTACGCCGTTTTTTAGCTGGATTTCCCGGCCGAAATTTATTCATTGCACAGTGAATTTGTTGGCACAGTCAGAATTGGCCGGACTGCTGTGCGGTGCGCCCGAGCCACTTGTGCTTGACAGTCATGCTGAATTGGTCCACAAATAGTCATGCATTTCCACTTGGACCTTGAATGACTTTATTACCTGTGAATAGCTTACTCAACTTTAATTAAACTGCTAGTACTTTTCACTCGCACACAACTGGTGATCCAGATGCTGATGCATTTGGATATTTGGATCTTATGAAAACTCCATCATGCCAGATTACATTGGAATGTTTCACAGGTTGTAGTGCTCTACGTACCAATACTACCATCCTATTTCCTACCTCTTCGCTCGGGAGCAGTAGAGGACTTGTGTCTTTTTTCGCCTACTGCCTCGAGCCTCCAGGAAGCCTCTTTGTTCTAAGCCCAGTTTACCGTCCGCTCATTGTATCTTCTTACGGCGATGTTTGGTTTGTCTTCTCCGAAGATGCCCCGCGAGAACCAGACTCCCAGTCCAGACCAACCTTTCCCCCTCTCCACGAGTCGTGAGGTCTCAAGCATCCCCAAAGCCGACGGCAAGGATGACGAACGGTGGGTCTACCCGTCGCCCCAAATGTTCTGGAATGCTATGCTTCGCAAGGGCTGGCGTTGGCGAGACGATCAGATCTCACCGAAGGACATGGACAACATCATCCGCATTCACAACGCCAATAACGAGTTGGCATGGCGGGAGGTCCTAAAGTGGGAGGCCATGCACGCGGAGTACGTTCTTTGGCTTTAGTCTGTCTACATTTATTTATTTATTTATTTACCCTCCCCCCCGGCTTATTGATGATGATGGCATTGCCGAATAGTCGCTGGGAGACATTTTAGAATCATGATCTTGCTTAGGTATTAATTTCAAAACGTCACTGCCTGGGGACAGGGGTCGACTTCCACTCAGACCGGATTGGAGGTCTAACCCGGTTTGTGAGTTGCATTGCAACTTTTCGCCTTTATTGACCACAGTCAAACAAAGCGCACGTAATATCTTAACGTTCATCTATTGAACTACTCAGGATGGTCATGCAGGGTCGCGACTCAAATCCAAAGGCTGAATGGCTGTGACGGGCACTAAGCTTTGTCGTATGTACTGTCTGATTAGCTAAGTAGTCAGTCCCACGACGACTATGAAACTGTCCACTGCTGGACAAGAGAAGAACAGACCAGCTGTCTACAAACTGACCTTCTCGAAATTCCCTGGTCGGATGAGAGTCTATTTTGGGGCTTTTGATTATGACACCAGTTGGTCTCGAATCTTTTTGCCCGTCACAGTGGTAAGCCGAAAGTCTTGCTTTACGGTGTCTCCGCGCCTTCATTGCAACCCGGATTCCCTTACTCGACACGGCTACTTTTTTAATTTTTAGTGAGTGTCTCACTCCAAAACTGCGGAGGTTTGCGGGTGACTCCCAGAACTACTCCCTGCGCGCACGATTTCGTCGTATGCTGGGGTAAGTGGCCCGGGGAATTTGTGCAATTTTTCGTTGACTGCCTTTGTGTCGCAAAGCGTTTTCCAACCCCTGCTGGCGCTTCAAGCACGGATTTCGGTTATCTGCCTTCGGCGACTGGATGAGGCCTGTGCACAACTCTCATTCTACGGCACATGAGTATCATACTAGGCGTGCAAATCACTAATGCCACCTACTGACCGTACGAGTGTCGCAAGCGACGACGTCAGTTCCACTGTCGGCACAGTGCCCGTGACTTGCGCAGCATCTATCTATGGTGGATGCCGCCTAACTCAAAGGTCCTGCTTGTATAGCAATTCTTGTCAGGTCACTTTCTCTTTCCCTTTCCTCTCATTTGTCTTCTCCTCGTCTATTTCTCATCAAGAAAATCAAAACCCATACTGTATTTTCAATTCTTTTCTTATTGCTGTGACCCTCTGTGCTGTTTTATCGCCACCGCCACGACTCCCAATCCGTCTTCCCCGAAATGGTGGATTATAAGGAGATATTTGATTGGCAAAAAGACAAGGCCGCAAGGGGTGAAGTCTGCCCTCTCAATTTTCTGCTAAGATTCCAGCACAGACCACTGATCCATGCGAAGTGTGCTCGTTTCGTTTTGAATACTGAGTTTATATTGATCCATCTGTGAAAAACTCGTCGCCTCGGTGAGATTCGAACCCACACAGTAAGGGGAAGGCCTTAGTACAGCCAAGGCTCTAATCACTTGAGCTACGAGGCCCCGCCGGACGACGCGAGTTTTATCACATTTGGGTCAAGTTACCCGCCCAACCTACTGCAACGCCTGGAATCCACCAAATCTGATACAGTAAGTTGACTGCCCAAGCAGGATTTCCTAAGTAATTCACCTAGAATCCACCAGATGACTACCGATCTCACGTAATTCATTAATATTTTGGAAGATTTTGAGTAATTCATATTGACCCAATTGTGAAAAACTTTGCGTCTCGGTATGATTCGAGCCCACGCAGTGAACTCGCGTCGTCCGACGGGGCCTCGTAGCTCAAGTGGTTAGAGCCTTGACTGTACTAAAGCCTTTCCATTACTGCGTGGATTCTAATCCCACCGAGGCGCCGAGTTTTCACAGTTGGGTCAATATGAATTATTCAAAATCTGCCAAAACATTTATGGAATACTGAGTTGTTTACGCGAGTTAGCACTTTCGATGCAATAAGCCAGGTCTGAGCACAGTTTTGAGCTTCCAGGACGTCAGATGTCGAAACTTGCTTACTCGTTGTGATGAATCGAATTCCCCAGAAGAACCGGAGCGAAGAGTCCAGTCAGCCTAGGCCATGGCGGAGCACTGTCTAGTCACCGTAGCTGTGAATAGATTCATCGTGCCACCCGAAACTGGACTCGCTCACGGGCCTAACTTCGACACTCCGGCCAAAAGATCCTATCGAAAACAAGGGTCAGTCAGCCGTCTTATACCTTCAGTGCAGCTATTGAGAGGGCGATTACGACGAAAGCCAGCCGTGAACCCCAGTCGGGTACTTGGATACCTGAAACCAGCAGCGGCAACCGATGTCGCGAGAACGGGGTCTGCTTTCAACTTTGATGTCGTTGAAGTTTTGGATAGGAGAGGGGGGGGGTCGATTTCACGCCAGGATAGGTGCAAGAAACCTCAGTGTAAGTCGACTGTTCGGTTGGCTGTTGCACGTACTTACCGTCGTCCTGTCGGGCCTCGCGAACCTACTTGACAAGAAGTAATCATTACGTGACACTGTCGAGACCGCCACTTACGGCTGCGGTCAGCGGGGCGGACTGGGCAACGCAGACCACACGACGCTGACAAGGCTAGGCGGTCCGTCTACGCGTGCCACACACGACCCTGTCCTTACTACGTGTGCCAGGCTTCGGTCTCACCAGTTGGTTGAGGGACTCGGACGGTCGACTGGTGCGTGGGGGCAGGAAGAGAAAGCGAGGAATCCATCCCCCCCCACCCACGGCACGTCAGCGCAGTCTGCACTAATAATAAATTTGATGCACTTGGATGGATCACGATGTGCTAGGCGTAATGCCTTGGAAGACTGTCATTTTAGCGGGAAAACTCGGTCCTTCGGGACTAAGAGTCAGGCTGCAGTGACTCCTTAGTGTGGCCTTCGTGAGTCTCTTACACAGGTGAGATCCGGACAGTCCTTATTGTAGTCCGGTACATGTAGTGGAGGCGAGGTCGCTTGTGGCACACGTACACGGGCAATTTAGTCTCGTCAACTATTGGACCGGTGCCCTCCCTCGGTGTCTTGATTGTGCCGCGCCATCAGATCCCGGTGTGTGAGAAATGGATGTGCGATAGATGCTGCGCAAGTCAGTCACGGGCAATGCGCCTACAGTGGGGCCGTAGAATGAGAGTTGTGCACAGGCCTCATCCAGTCACCGAAGCAGATAACCAAAATCCGTGCTTGAAGCGCCAGCACTTAAAGACACCCCGCCGGCGGACGCCTTCTCTGGTATGCCATCGGGGAGCTGTTTTTTGACTTCTAGTGGGCCTTTAATTTTACCGGCTTTTTTTCCTTATCAAGCTACCAATTGCCGTTCGACCGACATGACTGGGTGGTTGATCGCTGTGGCAAGGACGTGCGCTACATCATTGACTACTATGACGGTGAGGTGGACGAAGACCACAATTTCGCCCTTCTTGACGTACGGCCTGCTCTGGACTCCTTCACTGCCTTCTGGGATCGAGCGAAAGTCGCCTGGCTGCGGTGGACCAGTACCAGATCACTGCCACCGCCATCACCGCCGTCGGATAAGTCACACTGACAATCTGATCACGTCGGACTTTTATCTTC